TTTCAGTTTTTTATTTGTTAAAAACGTTTGAAATATCCAATAAATTTCGTTCCACTTCATGATTGTGTCCCACTTGTTGTTGATTCTTCACAAAAAATTACAGTTTTATATCTTTATGTTTGAAGCCTGAAATGTGGCAAAAGGTCGCAAAGTTCAAGGGGGCCGAATACTTTCGCAAGGCACTGTATATTCATCAGTTGTATGTCCTTTACCTTATGTAGTGTTCACTGAGTGAGTAAGAGTACCCCAGTGAATTTTTTTTTGTTTGTTTTTTTGTGTGCTGGGGGAGCTGGGGTGAGCGCCATGGACTTTACACGCATAGGGATACACCACGTATGGACAGTTATATGCCCAGAGGGCAAGGACTGGTGTGGTTGCCCATAGTATAGCAGATTTTCTGGGGGAGTAAACTCTGGGTTGGTAGGTTAAGTTTCTGGTTTGCAGGTTCTTTTTGGGGGAGAAAACTTACGAATATAAGTTCTGATGTCTGTGTTCAATAAAGCAGCAGTTGTCCAGGGTCATGCGGTGAAGGGGGCACAGAAGCCTGCATAAGAAGACAGTCTGACTCCAGCATCATTCCTTGGCAAAAATCCTACTAAATACGACAAGCTCTTTCGCTGTTCTAGACTTCATCACTACTGATGTTTTTCTTCAGTTTGGAGTTCGTTGCTCCACCATCTTTAGATTTTCATTGTAGCATTCCTGGATTTCTCAACTTCTCTTTTTTGTTTCTGGTTGAAATGCACACACCCTGTAGTCTCATGCCCTTTTATGGGCATTGGTGGAGCATTGACTTATGCAAATTTGGAACAAATGGCACACACTTTAAACTTACAAACACATGGGATTCATCAATATCAGAACACAGGTGCAAATAATTCTCTGGTTTAAGAACAAGTTCATGAATTAGAACCAGACTTTTCTTAGCACCTTTTTTAAGAACCACCACCCTCTTACCCAGGCTTATAGAGGACTGGCAGAGAGCATCCTCACTACTGGCTCTTCAAAGGGTCATAAAGAATACAGAGGGAATCTTTGGGACTGAACTGCCTGCTATGGACACACTATACACTAGTGATGGGTCCGGCAACACCGATGCGTCGCCACATGCATCAAGCTCGTAGAGCAAAACCCCGTGTCGGTGCGCGTATCGCTTTAAGAAAGTCACGTGACCGATACAGGAACTGTTTCGAACTGACACTGCCGCGCCAAACTGTGTTTATAAGGAAGCGCATATGTCAACGAGATGCATCTGCCAAAACGAATCTCTGCCACAGCTGATGCCATCCAGGAGGTGCAGAGATACCTGGCAGAGGGCAATATTGCCAGGTCCCAGGATCCTATGAGATACTG